CCCCGTCCAGTGGCTGAACCCTCCACTCCTACCCCCCCCCCTCTCCCCTCCCCACCCTTTGCCCCTAAAGGCACCGGCACTCCTCTCGTTCATTCGACAAAAGGAAGCATGCTTTCACCAGGGTGCTCTCCCTGCATCGCTACGCGATATCCTAACCTCTAATTTCTACCTGCATATAAAAAACCACCCCCTCAGCTCGGTCACCCCATTACTTTTACGGTGGGTTGCCTCTTTTTCAAGAATCCGATTTCACGGGAATGTTTGTTTGCTTTCGCGGCAGGAACAACCCTTGACTTCCGTTTGATTATAATGACTCTCATTGTAACGGCTCCTGTCGAGGTCGGGTTAGGTTAGGTTCGCTCACGCTGAATGACACTTTTCAGGTTAGATTAACAGTACGTCGGGAATTACACGTCAAAGAAAAATTCTTCAGCTTACCTTCCCTTCTCGTTGCTTCGATAATAATCACCCGATAATGGGCGCGCGGGTCTTTGATGATTTTACACAAGACGGAACAGGAAGTGGAACTGGTGTCGTAACTCAGAGGTAGAAGCTTTCTCGAGGGAGTCGCGAAGATGCAGTGCCATGGGGTCTGTCGTTCTGCCAATTACTCGGGTAATTGCAGCTCGAACGAACCCTCTACTCGTATCTTCGTACTGCTAACACAAGTCACTTTCATCCCTGTTGGAAGGCAAGTGCCACTTCACATATCGTAATTTTATCCATGTCGATGCATTCAATGCGTATTTTAATGTAGCGACGCGCACGTCAATTTTAAAAGCGACGGTTACACGTCGTGCGCAGGTATAGGGAGTCTTGGGGACTTTTTTTCTCTCTCGCTCAAGCGTCTAGTAACTTTTACGTACTCTTATTTCAAATGGATTACGACGGAAGTGTCCATAAGGTAGAGCCACTTTAGTCCTTCGGACTCTAAGCGGCAGCTTCTTCTTTACCGATACGGGAAATACCTACGTACCGGTTGGCTTCCTCTGCATGGTTTAGCGACATCTGCTTACAGGCTGGTTCACTCGCGCTGACTCGTACATTGTAACTCCGACGTAATCGATAAAATGGCGGATACGAACAGCTCGATCATGAACGAACGTTGCTGCTTTTCAGTTTTATCCACTTTTCTCGACCATATGATCGGACGCTTC